TGAGAGCAACATCCGGGTTTTTAAAACCTAGGGCGGTCTAGTGATTCGCCAGCAGTCCACAGCTAAGGGGCAGATCCGGGACCTGAGCCCAGTCCTGTGTGGTTGCAAAGACCATGTCATGGCAACCTATCACAGTAGTCACGCTCAGCTCTTTATGGAGTGATATCAAGGCCTAGCGCTTTTTCAAGAATTTCATTTCATTAAGGGGTAAAGAGAAGCAGACTTTGATGAAGCTGTGGGGCCGGGGGCCGTGTGCACGCCGTTCACGGGGCCCCCGGGAGGGTCGCTAAGGGGGGCTGCTTGGTGCGCCCTAGAACCCCGGAGCAGCGTCCCCACCGTTCCCACTTCCCACCGCTCCTCCTTACCCGGCCCGAAGGCGCAGAGAGAGACGGAAGCAGAGAGCCAGGGGTGCTATGAGTCATTGAGGAGGGGGGCGACAGGGCACCGTCTGAAGGGGGAGATTTCCTCACCCAAGAGAGGGGTTTTTTTTCGCCCGCCTCTGACAAATTTAGCTGAAGGAATCCGACAACAAACCACAAGATTTCCTTGTCAGGCTGAGCAGACAAGATCCATGTAAAGTATTTTCCCACGCGGCTTCTCCCACCTCACAGAATACTGCCAGCGTAATTGCCATTTTCCTTCTATTTCCGCCAGGCTCAAGGTCAAACAGCAACTGCGGGACTACGTGGCCTTTGGTCATTGCCTGGCGTTGCCACTTAGCCGGTGAATGGAAGGGAGCGCCTGCAGCTCGTTCGCCTGTTGCCAGGTTGCCCAGGAGGCGGGCTCTGCACCTGTCGTTGAAAGTTACGCAGACGCGTGTGGCCCGGGTCTGCAGAGATTGCCATTGCCAACCTCCTGATGGCCACTTCCTCAGGGCGGGCGCCAGCTCCTCCTTAGCCTTGTGAGGAGGCACGCACCTTCCTCACAGGTACCCGGACTCTTGCCGTTACATAGCTTTTTAAATGGATCGTCACAAAGAACTTGTTCTGAATTAGTCCGCGTCCCGGGTTCAAAAATTATTTTTGGCCCCCAAGTGGCTCTTTTCCTCTGTTCTTTAAGTTTGTCATTTGGTTGCGTCGCTTGCCGCTAGCCAGAGTCCTTTGGAATGCCTGGTTCTTGCAGCTGAGCTCACGATGCCCCGAGATCAGAGAGTGGCAAGCCTGGCCCCGGGAGCGAGGTTACTCAGGTGTCCTCAGACGCTGTGCACCGCCCGCGGCTCAAAACCCAGCTATAGCTCCTGTGGTAACAGCCCAGACTAATGGTCTGCTAGGAAACACTCGCCGGCATCCCCCAAAACTCTGTTATCTGCTAAGTATTTTGCACTTAATACCCAGAAAAATGTAAAATCTCTGGGCTCTGGTGGGTTTTCTGAACATCAAGTCAGCAAAACTCTAAGCAGCTTTGGAAGCAAGTGTATAAAATGTGCTTGGAATAGCAATTGGCCTCCTCACTTTCGGTAACGGCTTGACTTCGTTTGCTGCTAGCGCTGTGTTCTTCCCACGGGGGTGTGCGCACTGCTCCCCTCCCCTACCTCCCGAAGTCCGCAAAGCCTTTCCAAAGGTACAAGGCAAGATAGTTTACACAAATACATTGCTAGATCTTTAGTTTCCATATGAATCATTTCTCCAAAGTCATCTGCCTTTGGAGGTGGGGGTGTCCGTAGACACTTCATTCAGTCTAAAGAATAAGAAAAAAGTGGAACCAACTCCAGAGATGTGAGCTGGGCCGGGTATCCAGGAAAGAGAGAAATACAGGGAAACCAACGGGGGGCCTTATGGGGTGCAGCCTAGGTGAGGTAGAGGGTGACATCCAGAAACTAGGACCTTGTCTTCCTTTGAAAACAGCAGACGTTTGGAAGGGACCAGCTCACCTGGAGCAGAATTAACTCTAACTGGGAAAAGAAGCTCCAGAAAACATTTCTGTTGATGCTGATTGTTGGTTTAAACTGTTAAGCTGAACTGAATAACAAGATTCTACCTGTGATTTGCCAACTAATTAGATAAATAGAATAGCAGGTGTGCGAGGGGGTTGTCTGTGGTGGGAGGGGGGTTATCCACGACTAATTTGGCTCCTGAGAGCTCTACCCATTGTCTGTAAGTTACTCTCCCATTATATACCCTCTCTATAAATTGACAATTTCGTAGTCACCGAATATTTTCACATTGTCTCACTCACTCTCTTTATTCTTCCTATGCCCCAGTGAAGACCGGAGCCGCTAGGGTGAGCTCCCCTGTCTCCCAGCCTTGGCTTCCTGAGTCAGTCTGCACCTGCACCTCTCTGGCCTCCTTCCCTGCGGTGTCCATGGAATGCAGAGTGCCCCTTCCCCTGCCCAAGGCTAATTCCACCCCCGCCCCTTCCTGGGGACCCCATCAATCATCCCCCACTAACTTTAGCATCTTTCTTTCAACTGGCTCTTTCCCACACACTAACATGGCCAAACAATCTCTCCTGTCTTCAGGGAAACGGAGACCTGGTTGACCTGATGCTCCCCCTGGCTCCCGTTTCCAACATCTGCCTGCACAGTCAAGCTACGTGTCGGCAGCTGCCTGCTCCCGTCTCACTCTTCAGCTCTCTGCTTCTGGGTTCTGCCTCCTTCAAGCCATTCTCACAGGGGTCAGTCATCGAAGCCAGTGGGCTTTATGCTACCCGCTCTCCTCGAGCCATTTGGTACTGAGGAACAGTTCTTCCTTTCTGTGGCTGCCAGGGCACCCCTCTTTCCAGACCTTTCCCCGTCATCTCTAGTTCATCTAGCTCAGGCTCCTTCACTGAGTTCTGGTCCTTCAACTGCTCTTTAAAAAACGATGATTATTAAAGTATGACAGACATACAGAGAAGTGTACAAATCCTGAGTTTACAGACTGATTTTCGCCAGCTGAACACACCCAAGTACCTGGCGCTCAGATCAAAAGAAAAAGTTTCCAGCACCCCCGGAAATACCCCTTGCACCTGCTTACAGCCACCTGCCCTCCCAAAGCGTAACCACCATCTTGACTCTGAACGTCAGAGATGTGTTTTGCCTGTGCTTGAAATTCATATAAATGTGGACTACAAATGCTTTGTGTCAGGTGTTTGTTTGTTTTTTCCTCAGCATTGTGGATAGGAGAATTAGCCATATTTTTGCAGGTATAGTTTGTTCATGCTTACTGCTATAGGAGCTTTGACGGAGAGAATACCTCACAATTCATGTATCTGTTCTGCTGTGATGGACATTTGGGGAGTTTCCACATTTTACTATTAGAAGGCATGCTGTGATAAAATACTCATGTGCCTGTTCTTAAACGGTGAGCTCCCTAGATTTCCATTCTAGACCTTTCTCTCTCTGTGGTCCCTCAGAGTGGCTCTGGAATATTTTGGAGGCAAAGACTGCTTAGGCATGAGAGCAGTGTCTCTCTCCTCTCACTAAGTAAGAAAGAAAGCCTGCGGAAATGTTCCAGGTGAACATGTTTTCAAATAGTACTATTTTCATACGCTAAAATTTAGTATCTGTACACCAGCCGAACAATAATAACAACCTGAAGTCCAAAATTCTTACAGGAAAGGTTAAATTAGTGCCAGCTATGTGCAAGATTCTCAGAGGAGAGATTAAATTAATAAAATATAATTTATTTCTCAGTGTATGGAGCCAACGATTCCATAATACCACTGAATGCTTACGTTCTATTAGCTTGGTCTTAATTTCTACTCCACAGTAGTGATGGGACCTGGACCTCTTTTATAACACTGTGTAAATGTTTCTAGCAAGGCAAAGGCGAAGATGGGCATGCCTTTTTTGCTGCCGTGAGTGGCCACGTCAAAGCAACATACAATAGCTCCAAACCCCGAGACTCACTAATGACACCATGTCAAATAAGAGTCAAGATCGAGTAATACATGAAATCAAACTGTAGATATTTTAGGTAAGAGCAAAGGTCTGGGGTTACACTCACATCAAGTCTGTAAAGAAATTTTTTGTGCATTTTGCTATTGCTTAGTAATTCAGAAACTTTTTTTTTAGTATAATTCTCAGGAAAAATATAAATTTAAATCTAGCAATTAGTACTTCATAAAAATAGATATTAATTTTATGCTATCCTGAGGAGGTAGGGAAACATGCACTACCTCAACTCTCATGATTTCCAATTTTTTCTCCTCCAAAGATATTTTTAAATATGGGACTTTTCGAGATTATTTTTGTGGAGAAATTCCTCTACTCAGTGCCAAATGGTTTTGAAATAGTCGTCATTTCTCTCTGATGATAAACTATGTGGTGTTGCTTCCACTTTTAAAAACAAAGGGGAAAATGTGTTTATAGTTTCACTTTGAGGCTCTTTAGAGAGAATTCTTATAACAGGGAATGGTAAATTTTTAAACAGAAAGTTGGTTCAAAACTAGGAACAAATATCAATACCCCTCTTGACTCACTGGCCACCAACGTGTTTGGAGAATCAGTTGATATTCTCCACGTTTGGATCAATTAGAAAGAGGTTTAGTCCCAGCTAATAATGCATGATGACTGATGAGTTTTAAACCTGCCACACAGAGGGGGGCAGCTGTGTCCCAAGGACGGCCGGAAACAGGGACAGGGCCGCCGCTGGGACTCACGCCCATCGGCCTCGGCCTCTCTGTGCATTCCCTTCCTTCCCTTTTACTGCAGATCGGATTTCTCCCGTGGTGGGGTTCGCAGCCTCTGGGCTCCGCCAGCCCCTATGGCGCGGCCCTGGGTGGAGGCGACCTCACACTTGCGTCGTTTGGCGTTTGGCGAGCAGAAGGCCCCTCTGTGAAAAGAAAAAGGCGCTCCTTTTTCTTGGCTGCAGTCCTCTAGCAGGGCCCCGGGGTCAGTCGGCAGAAGCAAGCGCAATTTCAGCCCGAACTCTGCTCCTCGCCTGGGTGCCTTTGCCCGGAGGACCCACTGAAGCTAGGGTCCCCGCACGCCTCGAATTTCTCGTAGCTTCTGTCCGTGTGTACGGGGGCTCCTGCTTCCCTCTGGTTCCCCCTGAAATGCCCCCGCCTCCATTTGCCAAATGCCCAGCCACTCGGGTCTTCAGCTTTCTCTTTCTCTTCCTTCTTAAAGGAGCCAACAGAGTGGCGGCCTGCTTTCCTCAACAAAGGGCTTACGTGAATTAGAAGGGATTATGCTTGGCAGGGGGAAACTAGCCTTTAATCCCCCGGAGAAGGACACGGCAGCCCGCGCGCCAGGGCCAGAGGTGCCCCGAGCGCCATTTACGACCGTCGCTGTCCCTCCGCCGACGGGGGCTCCGAGGGGATCCCCTGTTCGTGCGGTCACCAGCATGGGCTTTGTGAGACAGATCCAGCTTTTGCTCTGGAAGAACTGGACCCTGAGGAAAAGGCAAAAGGTAACAAGTGCAGTCTGCGGTCTCAAAGTGAGGTGTGGAGCAAATCAACAGTGGATGGGGTGGGTTGGGGTGGGGGCGGGGAAGGTGAGCTGTCGGTGGGCTCATTGCCATTCAGCACTGAAGCGACGGTTAGGTGACTGCTCCGTGAACCTCTCCGACAAGTGTCCTTCACAGGAAGACCTGTTTCTCTGTCCAGAGATGGACGCTTTCCACCTGCAGCCCAGCACGGCCACAGTATGGTCTTCTTTTGCCCTCCCTGCAATATGACTCCGTTGCCTGGCCCTCCCTTCCCCCACCCCCTGGCTTTGAACCCTGCCAGTCCAGCGCACAAGCCCTTGAGTGTCCATACGGTGCTGTGGGAAGATCCTCAGCCCTGAAGAACGGGCTCAAAGGAAAACAACACTCTCTAAGAGCTTCCCAGACCAACGACACTATGTTTCATTGATTCTATGAGGTACACCGGGCTTTCCACATTTTCACCTTTCTGACATGGAGCTGCAGCTCACAAGCAAGTGACAGTTTAACTAGACACATCTGTTTCTTTCCTAGTGTGCAAAAAAATAACAGTGCATCTTACAATTGAGGGTGTCTTAGGTTCAATGAGATACAATAACTTCTCAACCAGCACAGACATTTAACTGAGCCCTTTCAGGGAGCAGATATAAGGGCTGGGCTAGGCCAGGGATAAAGAGAATGGATTTGTTCCAAGCCTCCATTTGAGATGGGTTTTTGCAGGTGGGCAGGGTTTTCCTGGGCATTGGAAAAAATGTTAGGGGAGAAGGGGGCCAACGGGTGGAGCATCTGAAGGCCTGTGATTGAGTGTCTCGGTCAGAGTTCAGTCAGAGAGAATCTGGAATATAAAAAGGTGTTAGCTAAGTCCGAGGCTGGTCACTGAGGGGATGAAAGCGAACAAGGTATCATGGAGGTGACAAGTGTAGGATGTCCCTTCCACCCTAGTGTTGAGGGAACCAAGGGAAGAGCGTGGAACTCTCAGCACTTGGAAACACAGAGATGGTGGTAGAGCTCTAACTCGGACCTGGGAGGGAGGGGTGCAGTGAGGCTGCTGTTGGGGTCTCCCACCCAGTCCCACGAAGAGGGACCCTGGCTAGATTTGGAGCAGAGGGACAATAGCTTAATCATTAGCCCAGAAAAGAGCAAATAGCAAAGGACATAATCCAACCATGTGCATAGGTGGTCGGTCCTTTCTGCTGTGTGTCGCTGGGATAGGACTTAGGGAGGCTGCAGGGGGAAGCCAAGTTAGGACCCCCTCAGACATGGGAAACACCGCTGTCCTCAGGCTGCTCTCCTTGTCAAAGCTACTCTGATTATCAAATTAGTGTTGAAGTTATTTGTCACCCTCAGGAGCCAAGTGCTAACAGTAATCAGACACTCAATCCCTTGCTTCCGTGAGTTTCCCTTCCAGAATGAAAATAGACAAAATTAAGCAAGATTCACTATTAAATTCATGTATTTATTAATGTGCTCCTTCAATCAACAAATACTAATCACTAGGCACTGTGCCAGGTGCTGGGTACACAAGGGCAGACAAGACAAGCATGGTCCTTGTCCACATGGTGTTCATAATCTATGAAATGCCAAGGAAAATCCAATCTGCAACTGTTTCTTTCTCTTTCCCATAAGAAATTAAGATTCTCACTTAGTTCTACTCTTAATGTGCTCTTTGTAGCCCTCAAACAATATCCTTGAGGACTTTACCTGCTGAAATGATTCCATTTCTGTGGCAAGCATGTTTCTATTACAGAGAATAACTCTATTTTCAAAGACAGGGTTTGGCTCAGAGGCCCTCACCGGCTCTACTCCCTTTCCCTGGCGTTGGCGGGTGTCCCCTGTTCAGGGACTCCATCTTTCCCGCAGTGTGCTCCCAGGGAACACGTTGCCAGCCTCTCAGTGGTGAGATAGGACCGCCCCGGCTGAGAACCCTGGCTGGGGTAAGCTCCCAGGATTAGACCTGGTCTGAGCTGACATTCATTTGATGCCATCCTGCTGGCCTGCAATTTGAGATCTCTGTCTGGTGTGCCTCCAGCCGACTTGCCCACTGCCACCATATTCTGGGAATGACCAGGATGTCTGAGTAAAGATGGAGGTTTCTTCTACAGCCCCCAGCAGCTCTGACAGGGGTCCGTGGCTCCTTCCCTAAGCTTTTGGTTCTTCTGGAAGGTTTTGCCTCAACAGAATGGTTACTCTAAAGAAAGTACAACACACCTAACCCGTAACTCAACTGCTAGGTTTTTAACTTCTCAAACTTCCATGGTTTTGGGCATTCACTGTTGTGAACAAGGGCAAAACAGATACCAAGTTTCCCCATTCCTCTTCTCCCAATCCCTGAGGGCATGAGATGAAAATCTTCAGAGCTCTGCATTCCTCCTTCCTTTTTATTTTCTTCCTCCGGTAACACTTATCAAGTATTACTAAGTGGCTGGCACTGTACTGTCACCTCAGGTCCATGAGAGAGCTACCACTTGCGTCCCCGTGGGGACTGATGAGGTCAGGAGGCTTCAGCGAAGGTTAGTGACTGGTGGGGCTGGCAGACATGGCCATTACCCCACACTGGGGTCGTGGAGACTGCAGAGTCAGGGTGGCTGTCTAATTTATCATCCAAACCAGGGCAGTTTTGAAAGTCAAAGGTGTTACTAGGAACAATGACACCAGGGTAAAACATGTAATCTCACACTTGACCTGGCGAACTGGGCCCATACAGCCAGGACAGCCTGCTGAGTTAGACGCAGCCCCCACTCTCGGGGACCTCGGGACGGGGGGGGGACGGGGGGGGGCCGCGCCTGCGCAAAGTTACTGACAGCATAATGTGCTCAGCAGTGGAGTAGAAGGAGGTGGGGCGGTGGGGGGGGGGTTGCTGAGGATGAGTTCTGGGGGCTCAGGAGAGAAATGGGGTTTGGAGAGCGTGAGAGAAGACTTCTCAAGGAGTTCGGCCATAGAACGGGCACTTCCCATGACAAGAGCTGTCCCCACCGTCCTGGACAAATATACCCTGCCCATATTTGCCATGGGCCAGGCCCTGTGCCGGGGGGGTTTATAAAGATCACTGGGTGTGCCTCCTTTCCCCGAGAGCTCACAGTGTCGGGCCTCCCTGGTGTCATTCCCTTGTCCCAGCTTCCATGTCAGAGCAGGATATTTGGGGAGGCCTGAGGACTCATGAGAGGAGGGGTGTCCTGGACACCTGGTGCGGCAGCAGGCTCTGGTCCGGGGCCCAGCATTAGGCAAGGAGAAGTTGGCAGAGTGCAGGGAGGGTGCAGGGAGGGTGCAGGGAGGGTGGGCAGCCTGTTGCAAGCATACCCAGGTCCTGGGTCTGTATTCATCCAGGCAAGAATCCTGGCTGGGCTGTGGGTGCCGGAGGGAGACTCAGCCCGTTTCAAGCCTCGGCTACCCACCTTTAAATTGGAAACAGACTAGGAGGGAAGGAAATCTAGCTGGCCGAGATTTAAAACAACAAGCACAACTCTGCCCTTCCCTGCAACCCCTCCTCCCCCATGTAGATTGAATGGTAAAGAGAGGGGGAGGGGAAGCAAAAAAAAAAGAGAGAGAACAAGGAAATACCAGTTTGGGGGAAAAAAAATTTTTTCCATCGGCCCCTTCTGAGCCTTGGCTGGGCTTAATTAAAGTTACAGACATGTTTAAAGGGAAAGGGTGGGGGGAGTCAGAGCTGCCCTGAAAACATGTTTTTAATTACGCTGTGGAATTTCTCCCTGGGGTATGCCTGTGCACAGTTGAGCATCAAGGACAAGGATGCCGCTTTGGGGTGGGGATGCAGAGCACAACTGGGGCGGGGGCCGCAGGGAGAGGTTGTTGTGAGGACCTGCCTGGCTGGAAAGGAATGGCCGGTGGTCTTTGTGCAGGAGGGAGTGTGAAATGCAGCCCCTCCAAAACAAACCCTTGCAGAGTTAGAACAATAACACGGACCTCTCAAAAAACGTTTGTCCAAGATTACCAAGCACTACCTATTCCAGTGGGTCTCAGCCCAGCTGCACATTGGAATTACCTGGGAAGTGTTAGAAACAAACAAACAAAAAGCAACCTGAGGTCCCACGCCCAGAGAAACCCGGGTAATTGATGTGGGGCATGGCCTGCATTCCCCCCGCCTGATTTCTGCCGGCAGCCACTTAGGAGCTGCCTTCAAAAAGGTGGTCAAGTGAGGGGCAGGGACCCGGGGCAGAACCAGCAGCCCGAACTCAGAGATGCGGGGAACGCGGACACCTGCAAGTCCGCACTCGTCCTAGGCACCCCCAAAGAATGAAGGAAGGAACAAGAATTCTGATCTGGTCCCCCGCCCCTCCACTGAGGGGAGGCTTCAAATCACAATGCCTTGCAAAGACCAGATACTTCAAAAATACAGGAACAAATGAGTGAGTAGAGGAGAAAGTGTGTGAGGAACACGGCAAAGACGGTGGGGGTGCACCAGCTTGGGTTTGGGTGTTTTATCCGTGGGACAGGGAAGCCAGGCTGGCTGATCCCTCTCCTGGTCCAAGCCCTGAGAACAGGTAGAGCAGGGGACGGTGAGTGGTCAGTTTCTCAGGAAGCCCCATGTTTCCAATCTGGCAAATGAGCAGTTCTGAATCCAGAAAGGGAGAAGGGGAGAAAACATGAATGGGAGGGGGGGCCAGGCCTAAGAGCTTGCAAGGTCATTTTAATGATAACCCCCTTGCTCTTCAGCTGGTACTGTGTGTCGTGACCTACAATGTCCCTGTGATCTTTGTGGGAAGTGAGGGTCAGGAATAAAGGGCTTGTGTTTATTGAATGTTACCTCGTACCAGATTCTGCTCTGGGAGGTAGGTTCTGGTACCAGCCCCTGTGTTACAGATGAGGTCCCGAGGCATGGAGCGATTGGACGGGCAACCCAAAGTGATACAGCTAATAGGGAACAGAGCCGGACAAAACCCACAGGACTGACACATTCAACCCTTAGGGGATACTGAAGGACAAAATAGTCTCATTTCACAGATAGGAAAACTGAGCCTTGGTGATGAAACAAGCCCGAAAGTGATTCTTAACCCAGATCTTCCCTTTCCCAAATGTCTGACATACCAGACTACTCCCAGACAGACGTTGCTACATGGAAGGAAGCGGACTGACTTGGGAGAAAGCCAAGGTTGCACACAATTGTCTTAAGGGGAAGAATCAGATGTGTGGAACCTGGGCTGATTGCCTCACTTCCTCGGTGAAGACAGCACGAATGACTTCCGGTTTCATCGCTTGCTCCTATCCCTCACCCTGTGATCTTGCCAGACTTGCTCCCTGATCTTACTCATGGACAGAAGGACCTGGGATGGAAGGCATGAAGCCAGTGTACAGAACATGCCCCTGGGGGTGTGGTTTGTTAAATCTGCAAAGTGTCGGTGACCTCCAGCTTCCCAAGGAGCCTCCGAGACTGGTCCTTGACAAAGGCTCACTCATTCCATATTTATGGGGCACCTATTATGAAACTGGCCCTGTGTCGGGTGCTAGAATCACAGTAGTGACAAAGATAGACAGGGTCCCTGCCCTCAGCTCACGACCAGTGAAGGTTCCATTTCCACGAAGGAGTAATGACCCTGATTTACGATGAATGATAAGACAAGGGACGGGCAGGGTGCTGTGGGAACAGCTGTGCAGGTCTAGTAAGGGCGAGAGCTGTTAACAGTGAGATAGGGTCCCTGGGGAAGAGGCTCAGCCCTCTCCTCCTTGGTTTGCTGGCCCTGGGGGAACTGCCAACATTCCAACGGCTATCAAGTGTGCCGGGGGTCAGTCTCTGTAACACTGGATGGGATTGTCCAGTGTTGATGTTTTGCCATCTTGTAGGATCATGTGTCAGGGCAACCCTGAAAAGTGAGTGCCTTAAGGAAAATCTACATCATGTATAATATATAATATTTTGATGTGTTTCCTCTAACATAGCTTCCCTTGATATATTTTGAATAAAACATTGAGTAAAAAGTTACAGCTGCATAATCACCACCTGCCCTAAACACTTTTTGTTTTTTCTTCAATGCATTATCTTTGCCCCCCCCCCACTTTATGTTATAATTTGCAGTAATTCTGTAGCCAGCAGACCCTAATAGCAGGAAAGGAATAAACCTTTACTGAGTACCTGTCATGGTGTCTACCACTTTGCTGAGCATTTATGTACCTTTCTTTGAAAGGAATGACAAAGGGTTAAAGACCATGCAAATGGCCCCAGCTGGTCTGTGCATTAAGTCTCTCTCCATTCTTAGCCAGTGGCACAAGTCGTCCTTCAGACCTTAGGAGTTCCCTTCCTAAGGTCTCTGGAGTAGGGGTTGGGTAGAAGAGCTATTCCATTCCCCAAATCACATCCCCCTCCTCCCCTCCTCCCCCGCTACCATCCCACACCTGCAACCCACGCCCTCATGTGCAGTGCCACGGACTGTGGCTCCAACAACCAACTGCTCCTTCCTTTGGAGTCAAGAGTCCTTAAACTCTAAGTCGAACCTAAATTTAAGTTCTGGCTTTCAACCATAGGTTGTTATCAGCAGCCTCCGCCAGTACTGTCAAAACTGACGGCCGTATGCCCTTCGTTCTTCCTTTAAGCAATGAGAAACCTGTGGCGGGAAAGACGTTGGTAAACCCAGATTTTTGTTGACCTTGCTATGGATCACAGTGTTTCAGAGTCCTTTGCTCATTCATTCAGTGACCACGTATGCAAGATCTAGTGTGCCCTAGAAGAAAGCAGGGCAATGGGGAGGGGCGGAAAGAGCTCATGAGACACGTGAGAGCCGGTGGGGCCCTACAGAGCAGAATCTGTATTCATGTGCACAGCGACATGGGAGAAGTACGGAAGCACACATCTTGGTCCTTGATGAAAGTCCTGTGTTAATGCAGTTTCCTGAAATAGAGGCAGGGTGGAACCCAGATGGACACAAAGTCTTGTGAGTCTAATATCTCAGGGTAGAGGTAGTGAGGGAAAGGGAATAAGAGAAGGAAGTCTGGGGCGCCCGGGTGGCTCAGCCGGTTAAGTATCTGACTCTTGATTTTGGCTCAGGTCATGATCTCAGGGTCATGAGATCGAGCCCTGCGTCAGGGCATGGAGCCTGCTTCAGATTCTCTTCGATTCTCTCTCTCCCTCTGTCCCCTCCACCCCACCGCCGGAGCTCTAGAGAGAGAGGGAGAGAGAAAAGGAAGTCCTTTAGGAAATATACCACAACCAAGCCCTATTGCACAGACACGTGCTGAGTTGTGTGTCCACTCTGGGTGTGTCTCCTGTAATCTCTTAGCATCACTGGTCTTTTTGTCTTGTTTTTCCAGATTCGCTTTGTGGTGGAACTTGTATGGCCTTTATCTTTATTTCTGATCTTGATCTGGTTAAGGAATATCAACCCACTCTACAGCCAACATGAATGTAAGCATGAAGGGGGGAAGCCCTGGCAAGTCTGGAGGTCCAAACCTTTCAGTTGGAAAGATCTTGGGGGTTTGGGGTGCCAGGATTGGCTCTACTCATCATCATGTCCTGCCTCCAGTGCAAAAAACAGAGATTGTTCAGCATGATACAAATGAACTTTTTAATCCTACATCTTCGCAAATACTTGTATGTGGTTATGGAAGCATTGTGAAATTAGTTTTTGTTTTTGTTGGTCCTTTTGTTTTTTTTTTTCTATACCTAAACTCTTACTGGTTTTAAAGGGAGCAGATTATACATGGGTTCCCTAAAATAATCTGGAAACCAATTTAGGGAAGTGAAATATACGGTGCTAGACAAGAATGAGAAGGGGTGGTATATAGCCATGTGTAGTAACATATTATTTCTTGGATCCCAGAGGTATCGTGGGACCTGGGATGAGGCTGTGAATGCCTGTTTTATACTCTGCTCCTGGGGTCTTGTCTGCTCCTCAGTCTCCTATCCATCAAACTCTTGCTTCTTTACCTTGTTCTCTCTGTCCCCCCACACCCCAATCCCATCAACCCCTCCCCCCCACTGCCAAAGGAGCCCATAACTTGCAACCTTCTTGCATGCTTGGGGTAGGTGCTCATAACAGTTGTGGAAGGAGTAGATGAACCTCCTCTCCTAAAGCATGAGCAACACTGTGGAGCCATCTTGAGCTAACATCCCTCCACCGTCCCCCCTTCTATGCCCCCTCCACACGCCCTCCATGCCTCTAGTAGAACATTTGTCCATCACCCCACTGCACTGGGAGCTTGAGAGGAGAGACCCTGTCTCCAGTACTCAGCACAGGGCCTGGCATATATTAGATGCTCCTGTTTCTTAAATGTTGATGAATGAAGGAAAACACCAGAGGGGCTGGGCTCCTTCCTGCAGAGGCCCCAGCAACTAGAAGTGGCATCCCGCATGGTTTCCATAAGTAACTCCTTGTCTTCATTTCCTGTCTTCAAGGCCATTTCCCCAACAAGGCGATGCCCTCAGCAGGAATGTTGCCGTGGCTCCAGGGGATGTTCTGCAATGTGAACAATCCTTGTTTTCAAAGTCCCACCCCGGGAGAATCTCCTGGAATTGTGTCAAACTATAACAACTCCATGTAAGTGTTGAGACTCCCCAAAATCTTAGGATATGGCTTGAGGGCATTGGTTCTTAACCTGGGGGGCTAAAGACCATTCCGAGAAGCTGATGAAAACCGATGGCCCCTCTTCCCCCCAAAATGGACTCACACATAAAACATTACATTGTGCATAAGATTTCAGGGGACTTGTGGACTCCAGGTTAATGACCTCATCTGGGGTCTAATTATAAGTCAAATCCCATAGGAAGAGAGTCTACCTTTGGAATTCCCTTTCTGAGCAGGAGGTGGAAGAACATGATGTGAGCATGTCCTATAGACAGAGGCTCAGGGACGTGCACAGGGTCATCCTTCACCCACCGGGCTGATCTTGAGTTTACCTGAGGGACACCAACAAGGGCTTATTGGGGAGTGGGCTTCACTATACTTAAATAAACACTAGGTCAGATGGAAACAGGTATTTGGTTACTCCCGTTTTCTTCCTTAAAGTAGCTCTGGATATAATTCCTCTGGGACAAACCTGCATTTTGACTCAAGAAAAGGGACACTTGGCAAGTCAGCCTAATGCTCAGAGGTAGCCTTCCCCACTGGGAACAAACTATGGTTGCTTTTGCCCTGCCGTGGCAGAGGAGAGTAGTGGTGATAGAGACTTACCGCCTACAAGCCCGTAATATGTATCTGTTTGCCAATCCTTGGCATATAGAAAGACAGAAGAGGGAGCATCAGTCTTCCTGAGAATGTCAGGGAGGTGACATTTTAGCTGAGCTCACAGGGTTGCAAACGCTTGCTTGGAGACTGTAACTTGCAATCTATAACTTCAGCCTGAGTCCCCTTGAGGTGCCTGAGAAGGAACACCTCCCCATAGAGATCGCATGGGGTCGCACAGTGGGATCAGGGAGCCTGGGAGACACCTGAGTGGGGACTAGCTGGGGCTTTGTGGGACTGGCACTGGTGGTGTCTAGAACCTGAGGGAGTTGGGGAAGGGGGCTTCAGACTCCAGCTGTACTCAGCATTTGAACCAGGAAACCTGGGTTTCACATTTCACACTCTCATTATAGGTGAAATACGGGCTTATTCAAGGTTCTTTTGCTTGCAGGGCAAAGAAGCCCATTCCAACAAGCTGAAGCTCTAGAAGGAAATATATGATTTGGACACTAGACCTTCTTGCAAAGCCTGGGGAAGCTAGGCAGGCGTCAGGAGGTGTGGGACAGGAGCTGGATGGCTGGGCCTGCAGGGTTCAGCCTCTGTCCCTTGCTGGGCATCTATTATATTTATCTCCCTCCACCGACCAACGTCCCTGCTTCTCAATGCCCACAATGGCTCTGGTTGCCCAGTTCAGAGCACCTTGCCTCGGGCAACTGGAAGAACATCGGTGAATAACATTCAAATTCCTGGGAACATAGCTGATTGGTTCAACTTTGTTTTCCGCATCCAGTCAGCCACGGCAGAGGGTGTGTGTGTGTGCGTGCGTGCACGCACGTGTGTGTGTTTATGTGTGTGCTTGCACGCGTGTGCTCGCAGGGAGGAACTTGTGGATTCAGCATGGTTGTCCATGCCTATGATGGCTGGAAGGGCAGGTCTCAGAGAAGTGGCAACGCTGGGAAGAACCTCCAGTACCATCTTCTAATGTCATCCTGCTTAAGGCTTCTCTGGGCAGGAGACACACAGAGCGTGGGGTTAGGAGGTGACTTGGCCCCGCCGAAGCCGGAAAGCTGAACAAATTGCTCACCAGCTCTATTAGCCTCTAAGTACAACGAGGCCTTTTCTCCTTTCTCCTTGGTCCTCTCCTTCGGTAATGTCATACCTAGGTCAAGCATGTGGTATCTGAAAAACGAGCAGTGTTATTATTATTATGAAAATGACAACGATATCTTTACTGATGAAGCTTTGTCTTCCTTACAGCTTGGCCAGGGTGTACCGAGATCTTCAGGAACTGCTCATGAAGGCCCCAGAGACGCAGCACCTTGGCCGTGTGTGGGAGGAACTTCACACCTTTTCTCAGCTCATGGACACCCTCCGGACTCACCCTGAGAGAGTTGCAGGTATGCTGGGCTTGCGTGTTCTCAACCATCATTTGCCTCTCCCTTGCCTCACCCGTCAGAGAGACCAAAGGCATGGGAAAGAGCAGGAGATTTGGTGGGAAAAGATATCAGAGGAGGCAGGAAGGAAAGGCTCTAGAGGTGGCATGAAGCTCACCCTGGTGAGGACTCCTCTTTCCATCAGCTTAGAAGTTAGGAAGTTGAGGAGGGCAGGAAAGTTCTCATTCCAGGCAAGTCTAGAGACAGAAAGGAGAATGCCGAGAGAGGTTGCACTCTGGTAAGGATGAGGCTAGATTAAGTCTGGAAGCAGGAGAAGGGAAAGGTGTGGGAGCATTTTCATAGAGCACTAGAGAGTGAGCGAACCAGGACCACGTAGAACCAATGCCAAGTAAGGGGCCAGGGAGGTCAGAGTGCATATGTTTATTGTGGCATAAATACAAACGATCATTCCATTTCTTCCAGGGATATTCAGCATCCGGGGCCCTGAGACACAGCACGTGTGGAGGGAGGTGATGCAGGGCTGGGGGTTTTAGGGAGGTACTGCAGAAGGTCCAGGAGGCAAGGGGTTGAGGGTGGTGACTAGAAAACAGGCAGCATCGGGTCCAGGCTGCGTAAGGATGGATGGGAAGCCAGAAGTACTGAAATGGCCTGGAGGAGATGGGGGGGCAAGGGAACAGAGGCCTCTGGGAGTTCCATGATCCTGCTTAAGGACTGGGGTGCTGAACGGGATGGAGGGCTTAACGACTGTGGTCAAAGACTGAACTCTGCGCATTCAGGATTTCGAAGGCAGACAGGAGCAGTGAGAAGGAGCCCCTGGTGTGGCTACAGTGGCTGAAGGGGGGCAGAGGCAAAGGTTGAGCTGATGGAGGAGACTGAAGCAACGAGAGGCCAGGCTGTTGGGTCACTGTTTGTGCGGGCAGGTAGCAGAGCTGGGCAGCAGGGTAGGAGAGCCCTCCAGGGGTCATCACCCATGCAGCTGGAGAGATGGGTCAGAGTGGGTGCCCACGCCAAGGGCTCCCAGAGCAGAAGTGGAAGGACCGAAAGAAGAGTGACCACACCTTGGGGAGGGCGGCAGAGGGAAGCAGGGGCTTCAAGAGTGCAGAACAGTCTGGAGGGGAAACTATCCTTGGGAGAATATTATCCTCTTCCCTCCCGGCCACCTTCTCCCTTCTGTCCGTCTGGGAACAATGAAGGACGGGAGTATGTTCAGATGGCACGCTGAGGTGACTGCATTACATTTTAATTCTCTCAAAAATAGTAACACATGTACTTTATGTAGTAATTTTCTGCAGACCAGATTACAAACACGACCTTCTTCGCTGCCCTGGATAGAAGAGTTACTTAGCTCAAGCTTGAAGGACCTTCTAAGGTGTGGGCACAAAGAGCATTTTCGTAGTAAGAAATTCGGGGGAGAGGCAGCAAGCAGAAAGCACTGTTGCCAGGATTAAAGAAGCAGATGAGAACATGGGCTGTATAACCCCTGGAGTGATTGCCTACCCCATTCATCCAGTGGGATCTGGAATGAGGCAGACATTTCATTTGGTTGTCTCATTGTCCGATGGAGTCCAGCTGGGAGGAAATGTAAAGGAAGTCATTTCAAACCACAATTTCTCTGTGGTCTTTACAGTGTGTATGTGAGCACCAAAGTCACTGCTTCCCAGCCCCAACACAGAACTAGTTTTGAACTGGCATGCAGGTGGTTCCTTCTGCTGGCCTTCAGGCTGTGGGGGAAGTTCTCCAAATGAGAGCAGCTTCAGAGATCTGGGGAGAGAGGGTGGGAAAAGGTCAACCAAGGCTCCCCAAAGGAATTTGGAGGCTGGGAACAAAGATTCTGCAGCACCCTTGACCTCAGTGGCCATAAGTGGGGACAGGGGACCATCCGCAAAGTCTCTGAAGGAATTCCAGGCCAGGGACCGAGGCCCACCATCAACATGGCAGACTATATCAGGGTCCATCCCAGGGTCACCTGGGGACCTTGCTCACTGTGAACATTGAATCCTTGGCCCAAAGTCCCAGTGGAGGGTAAAGCCTTTGAGAGCGAGGTAGGCGGCTGTCATTGGTATGTGCTTTTGCCTGTCAGTCCCCAGTCACCTGGGAAAGTATGCCGATGGTTGACCTGGGCGGCCTTTTCTTTTCCCAGCAAACCTGTCCTACAGCATTCTCAGCAGGGGAGGATTAATGGTAAAACACCAGACGGGAAGCCCCCTCCCCTCTCACGCCCAAGCAAGCACTGTGGTCTCTCACTCATCTTCAAACACCTTCTTCCCATGAGCCCCACACATTCTCCTGGCTTCTCTCCCACCCCAACCCTCAGCTCCCCTCAGCTCCGTGGGCCTCAGCAGCCCCCTCCCCCAGCCTCTTCCCAGAGAAACGAACAAGAAGAACCACATTTTAAACAAAATTTATTTTTCTTTCCTCGGGGCCCCAGTTCACATTTCTCCCTTGGGAGTCTAGTGGAGCTTCTGTCTGGTATCAGCCACCTCTTACACTCTCCCTACAGGGTGGCCCCCACCCCTCTGCAGGTGTGTGGAACCAGCACGCTCTCACCGCTTCCCCCTGGGCCATGGCAGCCCAGTCACCTGGGCGAGGGCGGGGAAATGGCTACCCTCCCCAGCAAGATATCCGTGCGGAAGGTCAGGTGACTGAGTTAAAGAATAACGAATTGATAAACAGTCAAATGGGGTCCCGACTCTCAGGTCATGACAACAGGTATTTATTGGGTGCCTCCTGTCATTCCACAGTCATTTATCGAGGCCCTGATTCCATGTCACGCTCTTATGCTGGGTGTCAGAGAGAGGTGACCTCAAGGGCTTACATCTGTGTGCCCAGCATTGCTAGGTATGATGAGGGAGGGGTATAATGAAAGTAGGGTCCATAGCCCCCTACTCTCCAGAGACTCTGTGTGTGTGTGTGTGTGTGTGTGTGTGTGTGTGTGTGTGTGTCCATCCATCCCGGGTATCACTGAGGCCGGTATATAACATAATGCTGACTATGGAGAAATGATTGGGGAAAGAAGAACAACTGAGCTGGCATCCAGAGGAAGGAAGAAAGGAAGCTGGGTTTGGAAGATGACATGACTTATGTTATCGGGAAAAGGGGAAGGCAAGAATAAAATAGAGCAGCCCCTTTCAGACCCTCTCCTGCCCCCCGGGCTCCCTCCTGTATTCCGGTTCCCCTGAAGCCTTTGGGCTTTCCCTATGGGAAAGGCGGTGAGCCTGGCTGGTGGCACGACTCCCGAGAGGCTGCTGTGGGGCAGAGTCTCAGGACTGGTTGCCCCTGCCCTAGCTGTGTGGGTAGGCCCGCGGGCTTGACCCATCCCCTTGGAAGAGGAAATTGGCAGCAACCTCCACCTGGACCAGACTCTTCAGGGAAAGGCACAACCCAAAAACGGAAGGGAAGGTTGTCAAGCACTCAGGGGGGTAAGGTAGGCCTCTTGGTCACCTGGTGAAGGGAGAATTTGGGGGAGGGAAGATGGGGTGCTGGGCTGTTAGGACCAGGGAGGAGCAGGGACATTTGATAATCAGAGTTAATTAAAGAAGAGCTAAGAGATAAGTAGTCAACCAGGCTCCCGGGGGGAGTTGGGATGTAGACATGGGCACTTTCATGTAACCCAGACGCTTTCCCTTAATGTTGAAATGATTTCCTAAGAGTCTGGGCCTGTAACCTTCTTTGCTGGCCAGCGCCCCGTGAACTCTGGCAATGGCCCACTGGAGGCTGCGTGTTGGCCCTGGAAGCAGGCAACAGAGGTGGGTACCCTGGGGGTGAAGCCCCCGGGAGGCGTCAAAATATTAATGCAATCAGAACAAGCATCTATGGAGGGGGCTCACTGTTTTCAGGCCTGGGAGTTAGCCACTTCACTGTCCTTACCCCGAGTCACCCTCACAATATCCCTGTGAGGTGTGCAAAGTACAGACACAAATCGTTCAATCACTTACCGCAGGCTCACCTTAAAGGTTAGCAGTCCTTTATGCCTCCTTATAAAAAATTTCTGCTTTTAGTATATCCTGGGGGAAGCCAGAGAGAATGTGACTGGGGCTGATCAGGGCACGAAATTATAAGTCCAGGCAATAGAGCACCCCCTCTTTCCCACTTGAAGCTTTTCTTGCCCCAAACAGGCCCATCTCTCCTAGTCCATGTTAGCACACCAAGCTTAGAGTCTTAGCTGAGATGACAGAAATGCCAGGAAGAGCCCTCTACCCCATGACAACACATTGTGGACACAGCATGTATGTCCTCTCATTCTAGACTAGGCTTTTTCAACCTTAACACTAATGACATTTTGGACCAGGTGGTCCTTTGCTTTGTACTGGGGAGGGAGGTTATCCTGTCCATTGTGGATGTGTTACCAGCATCCCTGGCCTCTACCCAGTAGCACCTGCCCAGCTGCAGCATTCAAAAATGTCTCCAGGCGCCTGGGTGGCTCAGTTGGTTAAGAGACTGCCTTCGGCTCAGGTCATGATCCTGGAGTCCCTGGATCGAGTCCCGCATCGGGCTCCCTGCTCGGCAGGGAGTCTGCTTCTCCCTCTGACCCTCCCCCCTCTCATGGGCTCTCTCTCTCATTCTCTCTCTCTCATAGATAAATAAAATCTTTAAAAAAAAAAAAGTCTCCAGACATTGCCAAATATTCCCAGGCGAGACAAAATTGCCCCGTTCTAGCTCCTCACCCCCATCTGGTTGAGAGTCACTGTTCTAGACCACTCCACAATGCATCTGATGAGCCCTCTCCTGCCCTGAGCTAACTTTTTCCACCTTCTGTGCCTTCTCACTAAGTTTTGCCTGGCTGCGTCAGCAGTAAATGCCGTGACTGTGTTGGTGACAGCCTACTGGCAGGAGCCCTGACCTCCAAGCTCCCAGGGAACCCAAGAACAGAGCCTTCTGCTGAGAGCCAATTAGAAATGTTTCCAGTCAATTCTACATGTTCTCCCTTTTTTGACTTATTCCCCATTCAACACCCTGTTCTTTCATTGATATACAGGAAGAGGGATACGAATTCGGGATATCCTAAAAGATGAAGAAACACTGACACTATTTCTCATGAAAAACATTGGCCTGTCTGACTCAGTTGTCTACCTTCTGGTCAACTCCCAAGTTCGTCCAGAACAGGTAGGTGGATATCACTGGTCCCGGGAGGGGAGGGGTGAGCCCTGAGCCTAAGAAAAACAGGGAAAAACTTGCATTATTTTTCCTTCTCGCTTTTACGTTCAGAACCCATGATTTGTTCCAAATATTCAGAAAAATACCTGGGGGCAGGGGGTGGTCTCTTGAAATAATGAGCCTTCCTGGCATAGGATTCCTAAACAGCCCAAATCCTGGCAGCACTTCAAACAGCTCAGATTTGTATAACTGGAAAGAACCTTGGAGAACACGTGGCTCAGAATCCTCTTAGAGTTGAGGAAACTGAGGTTTACTCATGTATTCATCAAATATTTAGGGACATTTTAGGTACCAGCATACAGTAGTGAACAATATAGGCAAACCCCTGTCTCTGGGAGCTTACATTCCAGCCAGGACCACAGGCAATCATCAAATAAGCAAAGATACGGAGCGTTTCCTGGTCAAGATAGGTGCTGAAGGAAAATCTGGCAGGGCTGGGAGTTAGGGAGGGGCTAGGAGGCATGGGATGGGGGCAGACTGAAATGAGATGGTCAGGGAAGGCCTTCCTGCCCAGTGGTATCTGAGCCCACCTGGCTGAACAGAAGGCAGCCGTGGGAAGAGCTGGGAGAGGAGAATTCCAGTGTGAGAAACGGGCCGTGCATGCACGGCGTCTGAGTGCACGGAGGGAGCTAACCTGCCCCGGTTACAGACCTCTGATTTCCTGCACGTTTTCTTCTCGGTGCCAGCCAAGCTCCTTCTATGGAGCCATGACCCCCAAAATCTATCTCATGCATTTCATAATCTCCTATATGTGTTCAGAGCATTTTTACCACTAACACAGGACTTTCCCGTCTGTGGAAGTTCTGGGCCTCACGGCTCCTGCCCAGCATCCTGGGCACGTGGGTTCCTGGCATGAGAAACACAGTGAGAATGCAAGATAAGCGGCGGCCCGATAGTGCAGACACCCATCCCGCCTCTCCTGGCCAGGTCTGCACCTCCTCCAGACTCCAGGGGAGACTGAGACATAAACAGAGAATTTCAGGGCTTGTGTCAGTACAGAGATAAAGGTCTGAGCCCAGAGGAGGGAGGGGGAGCCCACACGCCCGGGCAGGGCCGGCTCTGTCGAAGGGGGTTTTGGGGCTGGTTCCCTGCGCAGCGGTGAAGCCCATACCTGCTTTTCCGGCTTCTCCGTCTCTGAGGTTTTCCCTGAAACTAGACGAGAGGAACTGAGGGTTGGCCCTGAGACGGGGTGTCGGGGCCCTTGGAGCGCAGTGCCCGCAGTGCCCAGGCCCTTGAACTCAGGCCTGGCTGCCCTGCTCCACTCGCCCTGCCACCCCCACCTGGGGGGGGGGTTGGTGGGGGCGGCATCCATGGCTCATTCTCCCCTTTGCTTTCTCTTAGCTCATAAAACTGAAGTCCTGGAAATGCCTGTGATGACTTCCAGTTGGTAATAAAAGGGAGATGGAGATAAGGGCAGGAATTTAGGGGAAATTTCTTTCCAGTTCCTCACTGATGTGACATTTGGAGCTTTACTTGCTGTGCTGTTGGCATCAGAGCTGAGCCTTTCATGTGGGCAGAAGGGGCCAGTGTCCCTGGGCTGTGCTATTATGTAGTGTTGCTTGCTCTGATGAGCTGGTGCTTCCCTGATTAGCAAACGTCAGAGCTTAAGAGGAAGCCCAGAGTTCCTGCTGCTGGAAGAGGCTGGTCGTGTTGTCCCAGCTCCCTCTGGGCCCTGTGCCCTCCCTGCTTCTCAGCATGGTCGCCGGCTGCACCTGCCTCCCCATCACCCCATCGGGTCTCCATCCAACTGTGCCGCTCCTTACCAGCACCGTCCACCACAACTTTCCTCCACGACAGCAGTGTTCTCTCTCCATGCCGTCCAAGAGGATAGCCACCTTGAGGACAGACCTTTGAGATGGGGCCAGTGCAGCTGAGGAACTGAATTTTAAGTATTATTTAATGTTGATTAGTTTAAATTTAAATAGCCACGTGGGGCTTACAGCTCTCTGATAGGTCAGTCTCAGCAAACATGGGATTTTGTTCTTCATCAGGGGCTGCATGCCCTTCCTGGGTCCTCTCGGCCTGGTATCCGAGTACCTCTCTCCCCATATAGGAAATTGTTAGACGATGAGAGGGGAATAGTTGTTTGCCTCATCACTCACCCCACCCCCAACCCCAGCCTTGTAAACTCCTGGACTTACTTCAAGGCCCAGCTTAAGTGTTGCCTCCCCTGTGAAATCATTCATAAACCCTCCCTTCTTTGTTCTGCCCCCCTCCCACTTCCCTACTCAGCAAAGAGCTAAAGTAGTGATGAAGCACAAGCTCTGGGTTCAAATCTCAGCAAGGCCACACAGTTAACTGTGTGACCTCAAGCAAGTTAAGTAACCACTCTGTGCCTCTGTGTCCTCATTTGTAAAATGGAGACAGTAAAAGTGCCTATGATAATGTTATGGGGGTCAAAAAAATTAATATATGTAAAGCACTAAGAACAGTGCCTGGCACACAGGAAACACTCAAAACACACTGGCTATTCTTAACACTCCTTCTTCTGTGCTCCGGTTTCACTACATTCAATTGAGCACTTACCGCTTTGCCTGCATTTCCAGCCAGCCGGTAAGCTCCTTGGAGAGCAGAAAACTCACCTTATTCTCTGTATCCCCAGTAACTGTTCTAGTCCCTGCAGAATGGGACTCAGTGAATGGGCATTGAATGAATGAGTCTCTGTGTGAAAGAAGGAGCCGGGACCTTCATAGTGTCCCAGCTTTCCCACTAGCCTGCTGTGTAATTTCTCCTCCATCACTTTTCTCCCCTAGAATATTAGAGGTTGGGCAAAGTGAGCTCATTGATTCCCTCCACCTCAGAATGTTTTAGACCCTGGGATTAGGGTTGGGGATAAGAAGCAGTGTGTGGGCAAAACAGGAAGGCTCTGTTAGAACATGCACCCAGTTACAGTCCCCTGAGATTGATGGAGTCCACACCGACCCAGTGTCAGCCGTGACCTTATTTAGTGGGAGGTGGGGGTGGGGTGGGGTGTAAGTAGAGCCTGAGCCTGCTCTGCTCTCCTGCCCTGAGAACTGTGTAATCGGAGGTCCTGGGGAGACTCCAGAGGTCAGGGAAGCCCATAAACCTGTTCATGATACTTGGGTGTTGGGAGTCCAAGACTCCAAGAGGCCAGTTACTTTACTAGGTGGCCAAGGGTCTCTGGCAAGGGCTGTGGCCTCCTTGGTCTCCGAGGCCATCAGCAGATTGTGATTCATTGTCCAAGAGTCATTGTCGATGAGCTCCACAGGAGCTATAGGATGTGGTTTATCCAGCAGTTGGGGTCACCAGATAAAATACAGGATATCCAGTTTAGTTTGCACTTCAGATAAATGAATGATTTTTTAGCATAAGTATGTCTAATTTGGACCCTATTGGGGACATACCAATACTAAAAACTCTTCATTGTTTATCTGAAATTTAAATTTAACAGGGCATCCAGGATTTTTATTTGCTAAATCTGTTGAGAAAGGAGAGAGGGGGCTGGTCATTTGCCATCGCTCCAAATGAATTCTAGCCACTCCCTGTCCTCAGCTTCAGGGGAGTAGGTCCTGATGGTACCTTAGCATCATGCTAAGAATGGATTGCTCACATTTTAAGCGGCTCTCTGATAAAATGAGGCTTGGGAGTGTGTTAGTTTCCTGTGACTGCTGTAACAAACCACCAAGCAAACTTAGTGGCTTAAAACAACACAAATGTATCATCTTACGGTTCTAAAGGTCGGAAGTCTGAAAGTCAAGGTGTTGGCAGGGCTTTACTTCTTACTGGGGGATCTAGAGGAAGATCCGTTTCCAGTTTCCAGAGACTGTCCCCACTCTTTGGCTGGTGGCCTCCTTTCATCTTCGAGGCCCTCGGTGGCCAGTCAAGTCTTTCTCATGTCACATTACTCTGCCCTTGTTTCTTCTACCTCCCTCTTCTGCCAGGCTTGTAAAAAAAACCTTGTGATTACATTGGGTCCACCTAGATAATCCAAAATAACCTCTTTATCTTAAAGTCGGCTGATTCGCACCCTTAATTTCATCTGCAATCCGAATTCCCCTTGTCCTCCAACATAATGTATTCGTGGGTTCTGTGGGTTAGGGCATGGACACCTTTGGGGTGGCTGGTCTTCTCCTACCACAGGGAGGTTTCCAGTGTTGCTTCTCCTCCCTGCAGTTTGCTCACGGAGTCCCAGACCTGATGCTGAAGGACATCGCCTGCAACGAGGCTCTCCTGAATCGCTTCATAATCTTTAGCCAGCGCCACGGGGCACAGACAGTGCGTGACGCCATGTGCTCCCTCTCCCAGGGCACGCTACAGTGGGTGGAAGACACTCTGTATGCCAATGTGGACTTCTTCAAGCTCTTCCGTGTGGTAAGGGAGATATTTAGCCGCTGACCCCTTGGAAGGTAATTCCTGGGTGCAATGGGGCCTGGTGACAAGTCATCGGGGACTCATGAATTGATGGTCAGGAGGGCATGAGCCTGGTGTTCAAGACAGCCCTTGAGGAAGCTCCAGGCTCCAAAGACCCAAGGAATCTTGACCAATAGTATTTTTAAAGCAGTGGCCCAGGCACCCAGGAGTCACTGTTAGGTTCACCATTAGTTATGTGGTTGTGGCATGTGTGAGTCCACTCCCAATGTGGGATAAATCCGCTCCACCACCTCTAGCAGTGTGCAAAGGAGAAGGCCTGGTTTGACTCCCTGCCCTACTTACTATTTCCTAAGATAGTTGACCTTTGCTGGCCCCATCACTCATCTATATAACAAATATAATACTTTATAGAATGGCAGGAAAAAAAATAGGTGCAAATCATTAAATAAATTTTAATAAATCAGAGCTTCACACTCTGGGTCTGCTCTTGACCACAAAGGTTACTGTTTCCAGGTAGAAAAGAATAATGGAAAATTTCGTTGTCTCAAAAATTTGGAAAGCCCTCATCTAGCACAACCCTGTGTTCTAGAACCGCATCTCAGACACACTTCTTGGGACCTGATAATACCTCCTCTCTTGCTAGAAGGATGAGAGGGAATTATAAAAAGGAGGTAAAGAACAGCAGTTCTTACACTTCAGAGTGTATGAACATCATGAGGGAAGCTGGCAAAAGATGCAAATTCCAAATTGCCATCTCCAGAGACTCATCTGCCCTGTTACCTTAGGTGATTCCAGGGGAGGTCATTATAGGCCATGCTTTAAGAAACACTCAAAATTAGAATCCTTCAGAGAAGGCGACATGTATAAAATAGACATATTGTTTCTATAATTATAAAATGTTTCTAGGATCCAATTGTGTTTTTTTCTTGTGCCTGCATTTTAATTTCTGAAACTGTGTTGTAGGGTATGTCAGTCAAGAGAACTTGGTTCAGGAATTTGTGTTTTACCTTTTTATGGTTGCTCTCTCAAGTCCCAGAAAACCCACTCTCAGCTTGTCTTACAAAGCAAGTTGAAGGCTTTTAAAAGCAACAACAACAAAAATAAAACAAGGCCCCTCAGTTTTTGGCAGAGTTCACACTTGATTCCTTTCAAAACGTGACTTTCCCTTGGAACGTTACTCAACAATGTTCCCAGCTTATCAGGGTGGGTCTCCAGAATGGTAAGAGGGCCCACCACTGAGAGCCCAGGACCCCAGAAAATTCCCCTTGGCTCCCCATGCTGTAGGGAGAATAAAAAGGCATGTGGTTCAAACTTCTCTGTCCAAAATTCCAAAAGGAAGTCAATTTTAGACGCACTCCTTGGTTTGTTTTCAGAATCGTAAGAGTGACTAAGGCAATAAAGATCCCTTATGCTGGGCAGCTGAACACCAGCAAAGCTGGAGACCAGTACCTGTGTTTGCAGAGGTGTTAATGTCCTTGGGCACCCAGGACAGTGCAATCGTCTGAGCAATAGAAAAAAGGCAGGGTCATGCATCTCTTTCTGAAGTACCTTGGCTGCTGGTATAGGTAAATGTACCCTTGGAGCATGACCAGCAATACTGGGAAGACAGTTCTGGATGTAGCAGGATCAAGGGAGACCTGGGCAAAACTTTCCATTAGGGGCTGGAACCAAGCTCAGATCACTGGCTTCAGAATGTTTATCACAGAAGAAAGACCAGAAAGTCTTTCCTTCTACAAGTGCTAGAGTTCAGAAACCAGAGGAAAACTTTGGCTGGTCGCCCTTACTGACCTGAGACATGACATATCCTGTGTGCCTGCTCACCACCTCTGTTCGTGAGTTCATGCACTCAGACCTGACCCGGGTGCCTTCAAGGGGCCAGGCACTATGCTGAGGCTGAGGCTCCAACCATGACCCTACCACCCTCACTGAACTCTTAGCCTGAGAAAAGCAAAAAGACCATGTCATAGCAGTTGGTGTTAGAAACACCCAACACCAACAACATTTGGGCGCTGGAGCAGTGGTTCCCAGCCTGGCTACACACTGAATCACTAGGGAGCTTTTAAAAATTACCAGTGCCTGGCCCCCACCCCCAGAGATTTTGATTCCGTGGGCCTTCAGTGTTTTTAAAAGCTTCCCAGATCATTCCAATGTCCAGCTGGGTTGGAAGCACTGACCTAGAACATAGCAGTTGGGTTCCCAGGTTGAGAATCACTGACCTAGAACATAGGAGTTTGATTTACAGCCTCCGTTTCTGTAGACCAAGCATAATAATAATACCCCAAATGCCACTAAGGCTTCAAAGCACTTTCATTTGATCACCCATAAGACCGGGGAGCTGTGGACTCATCTTCCCTGCCATTCTCTTAACAAAGACAGTGTAGCCCCAGAGAGGGCCTGGAGGAAAAAAACCAGCAGGAGGTGGGTCCCCAGGATTACCCCTACCTGCCCTTTCTTGCTCCTGTTTATCTTTGTGGGGAAAGACCAGCCCAAGACAGGACACATGGAGTGCAAGCAAAGAAGACGGACATCCTGTCTGATGCTCTTGACATGAGCTTCTTCATCTGACAAATGGACAGAGTGGCTGAACATTTTTTTTTTAAATTACTAATAAGGAAACCCAAAAGAAACTACTGGCATGAAGACAGGATTTTTACTTTCATTGCACCTGTACCCATCTTATCCGTATTTTCAGAACAACAGCCCTGAGAGCACAGCAAGGCTCAGGGAAGACCCTCAGACCCTCCGAGAGGGACATCGGGGAAGCAGCGGCTGCTCCAAGGCCAGGGGTGGGGGCCTCTCTGGGACGAGGCTGTTATTGCAGCTGGCTGGCAGGCAGCCACGCTTAGCCCCAGCACCGGGGAATGCTGTGCCTTCTGTTCTCCTGGGCTGTTTCTCATACGCATGTACACCAGTGTGCAAATAAGGTTTTATTAAATGCCAAGGCAGTGCTCATTAACAAAGAAGGAGGGGCAATGTCAGTAAGCTGGGGCGATGGCCCCGGCGCCTGCTGTGGAAGGAGGGGGGGCGTGGGTGCGTGGGAGTAGACCCGGCCCTCGGAGCTGAGGGGATCCGAGAGGAGGGTTTGGCGGTTAGCACCAACTGGAGCCAGCTGTGTTTTCCCTCAGCCCCTCAGAGATCAGAACCCAGTGTTCTCATCCTCAAATAATCCCAACTCAGTCACAGTGGCCTCCCTCCACCCGACCCGTCCCCGAACGTACACTCACGCACACCCGGCGCACGTGCCTGCTGGAGCGTGCCTGCCGGAGCGTGCGCGCTAACACGCAGGCGCGCCTGCGCATGCGCACAGGATGCCAGGGACCTAGGTGGGCGGTCAGGTGGCTGGGTTTTTCTCTGAGAAGCTCTAAGCCCACTTGGTTTCAGCTTGAAAGAGCTTGCCTTCACCTGTGGTCCTCTCGGACTTGACGCCCTCAGCTGGAAAACCAGCAGCTCAGCCCGGGGCCCACGGTATCGGTATCACGTATCATGCCGGCCAACACTACCTGAAACATTTCACACCTCGTAAAAAATGGTATGTCAGTTTCGGGTGAGGGGTTGGGACGTTTCCCATCTGATTTGGCCCAAGGCATGAATGCCCCTCCTCCTCCTCCCTCTACGGTCCTTCCTGTTTTCTGACTCTGGTGCACAGCTTTGAAATCTTGCTGAGAAGCAAATCTGTCCCTTCTGCTCTGAATGTTTATTTGTGGAAGTTCGGCAGGGGAACGGAGGCTGTGCCAAGACCTGCCACACTGCTGGGAAATCTGAATTTCCCTCCCTTCCCCCTTCCCAGTGGATGTTGATAGAGGAAGTTTGGCCTCCCCGGCATTTTGGCCCCCGGTTTTCCCCTTTGCGATCGCTTCCAGTGTGGCATGATTCCGTTTTCTTTACTTGCCCTCAACTACTATTCTGTCGCAGTTTTTACTTTTCTGACTTCATTTCCCCCGTATCCCTTTGACTGTGGGGTGACTGAACATTGATTTGGGAGGGGTCGAAGGACTCAGTCTTGGGGGCCCTTACTACATGTACCTTTCAATGTCCTGCTTTGTTCTTGGCTCTGCTCCCTAAATTGCTGAATCCTTGGGAATAAATGTGGGTGGACCGCTTGCTGCCCAGTGTGAGCTGGCCATGGTTTCTCTTCACTGGGATCTTTCATTGCAGTTTGTTAAATTCAACTTACACATTTCAATTTTCGGATAATACTGCTGTGTCACAATTCTCTGGAAAAGCCCCACATCTCCAGGAATTTATAATGAGGTCCCATTAGTGACTTATAACCTCATGATTTCCTCTCCCTTCTCATTCTGAATCTTTGGACTGTCAACTTTCTCCCACTTCTGTGTGAGGGTTTTGAGAGGGGAGGAGGGAAAGGAGTGATACCCAGTGCCAGCAGTATGAGATGGGGGATGGGGGGCAGCAGGGCTGTTGGGTGAAAATAAAATTAAGTCAGAAGATAGGTTTTTTGGGGTTTTTTGAAAATTATGAAGCCCACAGCAAGTATATTTGATTTACAGCATTAGTATCTATTCAGCTTACATCTATAAAACTATGTGTCTGTTACAATCAAAATCTCCCCTGGGTGAATGAATTTCAGTAAAGAAGAAATAAAAAGGAAAGAGAAACATTAATGTATATTAAATGTGCCTTAGGCCTGTGGGCATGATTGTCATTGGCCTGCTTTCATTTCTTGTGGGCTCCAGACACACAGGAGGCCACAGTTTATTTTCATGATAGATTAGATGTTATTTTTATGAAATTAAAAAGAAAAAATACTGAGAAGTCAAAATTAAGATCACTTCAGACACAAGAAGACCCCTGTGAAACCTGCTGTTTCGATAATGGGTCCTGGGTCCTGGCCTGTATTTAGCTGATACAGATTGAGAACCAGTGTATTAGGGATCGGGTTCTCTCCAGGGTAAACTGGTTTTGAGAAGGATTTTGGCCTCTGATAGTTTGTCAGGACAGTAGTTTTTAACCTTTTTATGAATTAGGACTACCTTTGAGAA